GATCAAGAATAAGATGTGCTTTGATTGAATATATAATGAATTCATGACATTTTTCAAACTGTGGCTGAAAACTGAAATACTGTATATAAGAAAACAGACAAAAGTAATAAAATACTGTAAATATTAGAGAAAACACATGTAAACTAATGTACAGTCAAATCTATTGGGAGTATAGGACATAGCCATATTGACCTCCTCCATCAATGCTGGCACAGAACTACACAGACCTTCCATCGTTTATATAAGGTTTGCAGAATGATGGCTAATTGAAGATTTGTGTGAAGGAGTGTCAAACCGGTGCTTCAGTGATTTCATATTGATGTTGGTAGTTTTTAATAGTTAGGAATAGATGGATTCTGTTTGGTTACCAAAACTAAAACAATGGAGTTTGGACTGCTTGAATGACATCTGTGTTAACTGTTTGGAAAAATGGTGGGGAAAATGTGTCAACCCAATGAGAAAGGGTTTACACATTTGCAAGACCGGTCCTCTGCTCTGCTGGGATAGTGATAATGAAAATGAAGAGGAACCTAGTTTCTTTAACCAGGTCAAAGCAAACTAGAAAAACTGTAATTCAAGTATACTTAGACTGTAAAAGGCCAACTATGAGTTTTCTATTTAGAACAACAAAATATTGTTAAAACTAATCTAAATGTGGGTATTTAGGCCTTCATCTACAAACTTATAATCCTGTGCGATTATTATTAAAATACTTTGTCTTGATTAAGTAGATAACAGATCTATGGGGACCACATAAAAATCTCCTAAATTGAGTAAGTATAGGGTTCTGCCACTTTAGGAGAGTGGTTAATCGCCTCTGTTTAATGACCAAGACTGACAAGCTTGTATTAAGAGATTGTATACCCGGCCGGTGCAAGACTCGAGATGCTATCGGAATCTGAGTAAATGAGAATAAGGTATAATAACAAATTAAAAGAATATTCAATCATAATCTAAAATAATGTGAAAGGAAACAAAATAATCTTATCAATGTTTTATAATTGGAGTCAGATAAAACGAGGATAAATATATTATTATTCTAAACCACCTCATACTAAAATTGGAGTCAGATATGAGTTAAGTTTAATATAAATCAACATTGTGCACTGGAAAGACCGAACATGCAGTAAACCTTCATCCACCATTGGATACCGTCATTGGACCAACTGGGTTGACCCTACACCCATATACAAATAAATAAAACACCACAAGCAGATTTAAAACGTCAGAATCTGCAGAACAAGGATCAGCACTGACCTTTCCAAGAAGAAGAGCGACTGCAGCAGGCTTGAACTGAAAGGCTGATTCATATTATTGAGTGTTTCTAATTCAAAAACTCTTTTGTTTAGGGTTAGTGATTCAGATCTCATTTAATGTTTACAGAATAATGAAAAATGATTTACAGACCTAATTTGCATCAATGAATTAAAACAAAACAAGAAGACTGCAATGAATAATCCCTGATATAAGGATCATTTCTAATCATTTATCAGATTTACCATTGTTTTAATTATTACGAAAAATCAGTGAGATGCAAATTTTACTCATGCAAAAAAAATATTACAGACAATGGATTATCAAGTTATGAATTCCAATAGTGAAGGTGGCGAGGCAGTGGCGCAGTTTCTGTGTGGAGTTTGCATTTTCCCCCTGCCTTCACGTGGGTTTCCTCCGGGTGCTCCGGTTTCCCCCACAGTCCAAAGACATGCGGTACAGGTGAATTGGGTGGACTAAATTGTCCGTAGTGTATGAGTGTGTGTGTGTGTGTGTGGATGTTTCCCAAAGATGTGTTGCGGCTGGAAGGGTATCCGCTGCGTAAAAACTTGCTGGATAATAGTGAACTATAATGCTATTGTAAGTGAATGATTAGCACAGGTTATTAAAGCATTAGTTCACTTCTATAAAAGTGAGTTTTCCTCCACTTGAGGTCGCTGTGATGATCAGATTCTCCACAGCTCTGATTCTCTCAGCTCTAGCAGGGTTCAGTGGCGCGCGCCTGTAATCCAAGCTACTGGGAGGCTGAGGCTGCGGATCGCCTGAGCTCAGGGCTTCTGGACTGCAGTGGACTATGTCGATCGGGTGTTCGCACTAAGTTCGGTATCGATATGGTGCTCCTGGGTGAGCTCGGGACCGCCAGGTCGTTTAAGGAGGAGTGAACCGGCCCAGGTCGGAAACGGAGCAGGTCAAAGCTCCCGTGCCGATCAGTAGTGGGATCGTGCCTGTGAATAGACACTTCAGTTCAGCCTGAGCGACACAGAGAGACGCAGACTTTTACATAAAAATTTTTTTTTAAACTTTGATTTGTCTTTCTAACTGTAAAACTGAAGAAATAAAGATTTAGAGATGTATGATGACTATGCATTATTAATAGTAAGTAATAATTAAAAGTTTACTAGCAGACTTCAAAAAGTTTATTAGTAAACAAAAATACAAAAATCATCTCAATTTCATGTCTTTATTTTAAAAATATGCCTTAGACAGAAATATATTGAATTTAATTGAAAATATATCAAACTAAAAAATATATATAGAGAATAATTTTACTTTAAACATAAATGGCACATTATAATTTTTGGCCCCATCAGAAACAAAAGTAATACACGGGTAGGTCACAGCCAGATTTACTGGCTTCATCATGTTTGTTTTAATTATATCTGACTATGACATTGTTAATTATTTTTTTAATACCACCTGATATTGACGGTTAAAAAGCTTCCAGTACAAAATGGCATTTTTATTGATAAATTAGTTATAGAGTATTATGCCAAATGCAGTTTTAATCTAGAAAGTTTTGTTTAATAAAATAGAGGAGGGGGATATATTTAAGAAATTAATAACACTTCAAAATAGTAAAGCAACAGGGTTAGATAATATTCCAGTGCAGTTTCCTCAAAGACTCCCTAAATGCGTCACTCCGGTGGTTACACATATTATCAATTTTTCTATTTGTCAAGGTAAAGTTGAAAAAAGCAAGAGTTATTCCTCTTTTTAAGAAAGGTAGTAGGTTTAAGGTTAATAATTCTAGGCTGGTATCAATTTTGAGTGCTTTGTCAAAAGGGAGGGAAAAAGTTATTTATTAGCACATTGAAAAATATTGTTTAAAATGTGACGTATTGTAGAGTTTCAGTCGGGTTTTAGGAAAATCATTCCACTGATTCAACAGTTTCTTTTATTTAACAAATTATATAAAGAGCGATATGGATAAAGGAAGTTAAGTGGGATGGTTTTCTTAGACCTGCAAAAAGCTTTCAATACAGTCGATCACAGGATATTGATTTTAAAAGTAAAGGCAATGGGTTTTGGTAAACAAACTGAGGAAGTCTCTTGTTTAACCTTAATAAATTGTCCTTACACTTGTGTAAACCAGAATTTATTTTATTTGGTTCAGCTGCGAAACTGAGAAAATGTGTCAGATCAGAGGTAAAAGTAGAGCATCAAATTAATGAACACAAACATGAAGGGAAATATTTAGGTTGCATTTCAGACAGTAATTTGACAGGTGAGAAGATGGCTGTTATAGTCCATTCAAAAGTTCTAAAATTAAGTTTTTAGCAAGACAGACAGAGCTCTTAGATTTCCAAACTTTACAAATATTGGCTAGTGCATTAGTGCAGTCATACTTTGACTATGCTGCAGTCTTTTGGTACAGCAGTAGTTCCACAAAAATTTAACAAATAAATTGCAGACGGCCCAAAATAAGTTGCAGAATTGGTATCAACGTACTTCCACTGACACATTTAAATAATGAATATTATAGTCAAACTAATTTATTAAAAGTTGGAAAAAGGGTCACTTTTCTGAAATTGGTGATGGTGTTTAAGATTTTAAAATATTTACTTATTAAGTGTTAGTTAGTGAGGTACACTGTCATTCTACAAGAGCGAGTAGCAGGGGTATTTGTCCTTGTAGAATTAATAGTGAAACAGGTAGAAAGTCTTTTCTGTGTACTGTTGCTTGGAATATACTGCCGAGGAGTTTTATAGAGATTCAATTTGAGAGTTTTTAGAGAGGAAATTAAAAATGGCTGTTTTACGGTTGAAGTTGAGGATTTTTGTTGTGCTGAGTTTCTGAGCTGATGATGTTTGCACTTTATGATTTGCTCGTTCATTTTTTAAGAATATCGATGACCACGATGGAAATCAGCCTGTGGCTTTATTGTGTATTTTATCCTCGACAGTTTTTAAGATATGAATGTCAAACTGGACTTGTTTGTGTATTTTTGTTAAAATTGTTAAATAAAATCAATCAATTTATTCATTCATTTTCCTTTAGCTTAGTCCCTTTATTAATCTGGGGTCGCCACAGCGGAATGAACTGCCAACTTACCCAGCATATGTTTTACACAGTGGATACCCTTCCAGCTGCAACCCAGTACTGGGAAATATCCATACACCCTCATTCACACACACACACACACACACACACACACACACACACACACACACACACACACACACACTATGGCTAATTTAGTTTATTCATTCAACTACAGCATAGCACATGGGTTTGGAGCACCCAGAGGAAACCCACATGAACACGGAGAGAACAAGCAAACTCCACACAGAAATGCCATCTGACCCAGTCGGGACTCCCACCAGCAGCCTTCCTACAGTGAGGCCATGTGTATATATATATATATATAAAGATACATTATTTTTTCCCTTAATAGCTACATTTTAAAGAAATCTATTTGCTTAAGTCAGCTGAACAGTAAACAACAACAGCAATAGAAACCACCAAAGGACACCATATGAACACAGCCAAAATGACTTATTAGAGCATGCACATCTTTGTCATTCCAATGGATTTTTAAAAATATGTACATGCCGCCTTTTCTCTTTCCCCTTAATGAGGAAAACTATTGAATTCTATAAAAGCTGTTCAGCGTTTTATTTTTTTCAGATTAACATTCAATAAACTTAAACTAAAAGTTTTAGATTGTGAGCAGGACAGCACACTGGTTCTCCCGCAGCATGTTTGTTCATCATTTCTATCTTAATGTGTTGATCATTTTCTGTTGTGTTTCTGTATTGTGTGAAGGTCAACCAGTCCACAGTTTATGCTGCTATAATCTTTATTCAGTTTTATTCATAAACTATGTACAATATATACACTGTGCTCACATCGGCTCCAGGTCTCTTGGGTGAAGGTCTCTCAGTGACGTGGTCTCTTCTGGTCGCCGTGCGTCTCTGGTGGAGATGGGGAGCGGGAACGTTTCCCTCTGGCGTCCTGGACTGAAGATGCTGCACCAGCTGAGGAAGAGGAGGGCAGCGGCTTGGTCTGGCAGAAGGAAGGCCTCTTTTTCTTCTCAGCAGCATAGGCCTCACTGAACAGATCGAGCACAAACACACACAAGCAGACATAATGTGAGATTTTCACAAACACTAAAACATGCTGCAATGCCAAGTACAGTTTACTCACGCGTCTATGATGGGAATGACGTATTTGCCGCTGCCGTCCATCATGACTCCCTTTCGGTTTGGGTCGTCCACCTCCAACAGGAAGCTGCGGGGAATCCCTGTGCTCCTCCGGATGCGCTTGTGCGGAGCAGAGCTGCTGCCCTGTGAATTCATGAGTGACAGTCAAACGACAGAGCAAACAACCTGACTGATGGAGACAAGAGCTCAAGTTCACAGCAACCATAAGCTTAGAAAACCCAGTTACCCCTTTAGAGGGGCAGTGCCTAATGTGGTGTCCTGGGATCCCACAGTGAAAGCAGACATAGTTGGGTGGAAGAAGCCCAAGCAGTGTCATGGCCTCACTGATAAACATCAGAACCATGAGAATCAGCTCTAACATTTCTCACAAACCAAACCTGTCAGTGTCTGAACGCTCACCTGCTGGAGTAGTAGCACAGACTGGACTGGTACATCACCGCTTTTAGCTTGTCCTCCTCTGATGCCTTTGCCTCAGCCAGATTCTCAGTCTGTTTCACAGGCATTTGAACATTAGAATTTTATTTTACTGGTCTGCTCTAAATAAACACCCTCAAATCTCCCTAAGAAGCTGTGTGTGTTTGTGTGTGTGTGTTTGTGTGTATTGTTGTTTGCTTTACACTGTGTATTGATATTCTGCACTACATGTCATTATGACGCCTCAAATGCAAACACTGCAGTTCAATACAGAGCAGCACAGTGGGGTGAATTAATCATTTGTTCAATACCTTCAACAGCTGCTCCAGTGAGAGGAGTGAAGAATCACCTGTTTGAGAAGATTTAGCTGATGGTCCAGCTTGATGTCTGCAAAACAAAACAAAGGAGCTTGTGTGACTAAAACACCACAGACAGACTCAAACTCTTGATATAACATCTATCAGAGGACGATTGCGCTCATTTCACATGACTTACCCAACAAATCTTCTGTTGGAGGACTTCAGTCCAGCCGCAGGGACCCGTCTGATGATGACCGATGTGTTTTTGGGGATGAGAGCATCATCATCTGTGTATTCTGACAGCAAAATAAAGTTTGAATATAGTAATAATCATTTACCATGGTATACTTTGAGTGCCATTAGCATTTTAAAACACTCAAAACATCACTATATGTCACCATCAGAGTCATGATAACACATCACAGCTTCTACAAGTCTGTCTGATAACACATCTAATGTTAGTGTAGTATAGTTTAAGTGGCTTTTCCTCATCTCACCTTCATCAGTTTGGGCTTTGCTGATATTCAGCTGGCAGAACTTCAGCCTCTCGCGCCTCATGATCTGCCGCTTCAGCTCTCCCACAGTGATGTTGAGGCCCTCAAACTGGAGCGAGTCGTAGGTGAGTCGACTCTGAAACCTGTAATGAACACAAGACATACTGAACACAAAACACAGTGTGATAACAAGGGTCAAACCTGAATGATGGGAGAAGCAGACGATCAATCGATGTATCCAACAATCAATAATATCAATAATCTGGGAATCAGTTGCCACGAAGGACGCCGAGATCAGATGCCAATGACAGAGCGGAGTTCATAACAACACAAAAAGAACCGTTGCCATGGATGCTGACGATCACGTGACGAGGCGCCGAAAAACTTCCGCGTTATTTTCTCATAAATAATAGTGAAATCATTACTATGATAATAATTAAATAAACAGCAGAACAGTTGGACATCTCTGAATAAAACACAGCTGCGTTTCCTTACACGAATGATTCTGGCCTTTGTAAAGAGTCGGGCGAGTCAATGAATCAGTGATTCGTGGCTGAATGAATCACTCAAAGCTTCACTCGATTAAAGCGGTCTCTTGCTGCCACCTATTGGCGATTTATTTTTTCGTTTTTAAAGTAATTTAACACTTTTTTTAAAGCCACCTTCAAATTTATTTTCTACAAAAGTTTATTTCCGTGTGTTAAAAATGATTTAAAACTCTCTAATCTCATCATTTCCTGATGCGTTTATAATGTAAATCCCTTCATGTTTGCCTTTGATCTTCATTACGTGTTAAAATCAATAAAATATTAAAGTTGCCTCATCCAAATCCAAAGTTTGGTTCAAAGCTTTATTATACAGCAATGTGTGTGTGTGTGTGTGTGTGTGTGTGTGTGTGGGTGTGTGTGTGTGTGTGTGTGTGTGTGTGTGTGTGTGTGTGTGTGTGTGTGTGTGTGTGTGTGTGTGTGTGTGTGTGTGTGTGTGTGTGTGTGATTGTGGCAGTGGATTACAGTGAATGTAGAAGTGATCAGAAGTGTGTGATATTTATTGTTTCTGATAATCAAAAGAACATTTTAAGAGTCCAAAAGATTTACTGCCTGATGAAGCCTGTTATAATGCAGTTATGATGACCCTATAAATCTAGAATGGTCAGAACAATAAAAAATTAGGGAAAGAGATTAATTAGTATTTCTCCTCTTTATTTTGTATGTGTAAGTGCTCCTGGAAGAAAAGTCTGCGTCTCTCTGTGTCACTCAGGCTGCACTGCAGTGTCTATTCTCAGGTGTGATCCCACTACTGATCAGCACGGGGGATTTGACCTGCTTCGTCGCCGACCTGGGCCGGTTCACCCCTCATTACACGACCTGGTGGTCCCAAGCTCCCCCAGGAGCACCATATCGATACCGAACTTAGTGTGGACACCTGATCAACATAGTCCACTGCAGTCCAGAAGCCCTGAGCTCAAGCGATCCGCAGCCTCAGCCTCCCAGTAGCTTGGATTACAGGCGCGCGCCACTGAACCCGGCGAGAGCTGAGAGAATCAGAGCTGTGGAGAATCTGATCATCAAAGCGACCTCTAGTAGAGAAAATGATAAATGATGAAGTAAAGTTGACTTTTTATTGGTCTTATGGCACTGTTTGGATAAAAATAAACAGCAGTACGGTCCCAAATAAAATATAGTTATTTAAACTAAATACTATAGTATTTTAGAACCACATAGTAAAGTTTATTGTACTGAATAGTTAATCACAATGTTGTGCTATTTAAAGGCAACTGTGGTGCAGAGTCGGGTTGGAAGAAACTTCAAGCATTTCTGTTTTCGCAAGGTTAAGCTGAAGATGATGATCTTTCATCCAGTGTGAAATGTCCGACAGGCAGGCTGAGATGCGAGCTGGAACCGAGGGATCATCAGGGTGAAAAGAGAGGTAAAGTTGGGTATCATCAGCATAGCAGTGGTAGGAGAATCCATGTTTCTGAATGACTGGTCCTAGAGATGTCGTGTAGATGGAGAAGAGAAGTGGCCCAAGAACAGAGCCTTGAGGTACCCCAGTGTTTAGATGCTGTAGGTTGGACACCTTTCCCCTCCAAGACACCCTGAATGACCTGTCAGAGAGGTAAGATCTGAACCATTGAATAACAGTGCCTGCAACGCCCAGTGACTCATATATATTATATATATAATGATTAATACATATAGAAACAATATTTTCATAACTAAATTATTTATGATTTGCCATTTAACAGCAAAACATCTCGTCAAATAGGCCACAGTTCATCAGGAAATGAAAAGCTTTTAAATGACAACAGAAAAGCTGTTCAGCGACTAACATTCACTCATTCAGTGAGTATCTAATTTATTCATTCATTCATTCATTCACTAATTGAATCAACACTTTTTCAGTCACTAAATATGGTGTCAGATGCAGATGTGGCCTCTAGTGTAATCCACAGTTCATATATTGCACAATGACGCTAAAGGCCACCATATTATAAAATACTGCAGGTTGTTGGTTGCAGATTAATAATCACAAACATAATTTTTTATCATAAAACAGCTAAAACATATTTAGTGTCAGAGAGGACAAAGTGGTTTTAGTTTACCTTTTATCTTTAATATTAAACAGCTTTTTAGTCTTTAGACCAGAATAAATAACTTGTGGTACTTGTATAAACAATGTTCAGCTCAGGATCAGTAATTCAGCATGATGTGCTGCTAAAGCTGAAACAGTCTATCAATTTATGCCACAGATTGTGTGAGATTCTGTCGAGTCTTATAGATGTTAAAAACACTGATGGAGGTCAAAACCGCATCTGACACCACAGTTAGTAGATGAGTAAGAGTAAACTGAATAATAAATATGTAACTCAGTTAATGATAGTTATTCACTGCATGAATGAATGTTAGATGAGGAACTGGTATTTAAGTGGAAAATTAAAACATTAAAGCTTTACTTTTTCAGAGGTTCACTGTTTGCACAATCTTAAATGGATAGTTCACCACATAAATATGATTGTGACGATTATGAATTAACATTTTTGGGTCAATTATCCCTTAGCTCACATAAATTATCCCAGAGCATTATTTCAGCATCAATGATCATTCACAATAGTCACATCACAAGAAATACAAGGTTGAGTCTGGATTATAATTTAGCATTTGCGTGTGTTTCTGAGGCCTGCGACTGTAAAAGCTTCAGGTCTAATAAATTGCATAATTTGTCATTTTAATTGCAAATCATTTTATTTAATTTAAAAAAAATGAAGACAATAGCAGTATTATTTTACATTTGATTATTACATTACTGTACCTGAATACTGTTTGACTCGTTGAAAAACAACAAAGCTCTGTTCATTTTATTTCAGAATTTTATATTGTATTTTTCTCTGCTCGTAGATTGTTTGTAATGTTTTATGCAGATGCACACCTAATATAAACAAATCACCCATTCTGTAAAATGTTTTCTACAGCTATATGTATTATGATACAATAAACCACTTTTACTGTAGTAAAAAAAACTAAAGTATACTACAATATTTAATACATTTTATTAGTTGATACAGAAAACAGAATGTTGTGGCACTCATAAAATGAGTTGTAAAGGCTAATAAATATGGTTTAATAATCTTTAGTTCAAAAATACTATGTTGATACTAATTACTGTAATTTTTTTATTTGTGATCATACTGCTGTTTATTATTATCTAATGTCATAAGGCTATGAAGTCAGTTTTTATTCATCATTCAGTTTTCCTCCACTAGAGGTCGCTGTGATGATCAGATTCTCCACAGCTCTGATTCTCTCAGCTCTCGCCGGGTTCAGTGGCGCGCGCCTGTAATCCAAGCTACTGGGAGGCTGAGGCTGCGGATCGCTTGAGCTCAGGGCTTCTGGGCTGCAGTGGACTATGTTGATCGGGTGTCCGCGCTAAGTTCGGTATCGATATGGTTCTCCTGGGGGAGCTCGGGA